TAGTAACAAATCAGCCTTGGTAAGTGAAAACCTGTGACACTGGGCCCCATGAATACCCTCCCTCTCTCTCGCCATGGTCATTACTATCATGTGTCCATCATATGGCCAATGATTCAGGCTGGCTGATGTCAATTGGCCGAATTAGTCTGTATACTTGTTGTTCAGTTTCTCTGTTGCAGTGAATTACTCCATGGGTGTTAATGTATGGCACAGAGATTTTCCCACTCATATCTGCTTTCATGTGTTCATCCACATGCTCTATCCCAGACATCCTTGTCTCCGATCCTCCAGTGTTTCTCTTTCCAGATCCCTGACCAGCCACTCAGGCCATTCAACACTTCCCAGGGGTCCATATTGTACATATACATACTTATATGTGTGTATGTATATGTTTATATATGTGTGTGTGTGTGTGTGTGTGTATATTTATATAATCTGGGGCCCCTTCTTTCACACAAAGTGGGTGATCAGGTTCACTGCTCCCAGCTCCACCACTTGAGCATGATTTCTGACTTTAAGCTTTACTTCCAGGGTTTATTTGGCTTGTTGGGCTATCCAGATGGGTGTTTTCCTTCCTCTCCAACAACTTTTTGTCTGTTTCTCAGAAAGAACAATCTTTCTGGATAAAAGAACATTAAAGTAACAGTTATTCTATGCATCCATTGTGTCACTTATACAACCATAAAACTCTTGGACAAAAGCTATACGAATGAATGTACACCAGTTTCCCATACTTGTTTTTAGTCTCTGCAACACTGAACATTCAGTGCCTCTGTTATTTCAATTAATTCACACAGGTCTCCTTACAGGAAACTTGAACAAATGTTTAAAATATCAAAAACAATTTGATGGTGTCATCCCAATGGCTATGTCTACCAAGGGTAGATTTTCTGAATTTAATAGGGAAAAGAGAGAAAGGTCTGAGTCCTACAATATCAGATGTTGCTATTGGCTGTGACATGAACTTTGACTATCGTGTCTCATAATAAATCCCTAGACTCTACATGCAAAAAAATAAGTCATCAGACTCAGAGGTATATGGCACTGGAGGGACCACATTCTTATTTTTATCCCTTTTCATGATTCAAATAACCTCCCCCTTCCTTAGGCTACAGCTGGTGGAGGCAAGGATATGACCAAAAACTTGGATAATTAGCACTGAAAGAGGCCTTAGACAATTCTTAGTTATCTCGGATTGGTCTTCCCAGAAGGAAGCCAATGTATAACTTTTTGTATTTCCAGTGGTGTATCCCCTGTGTCCGTTCATTCCTGTCTGTTCAGAAACACACAGAATAATCAATGGCCACCACCATGTATTTATTATGCTGCATCTGAATATTTGGGAGATGATGTTTCTGGACTCCTGAGGGTCTCTTCCAGGCATCTCTTTTCTAGGGGCAGAATGCTGACATTCAGCCATCTTCAATCTCAGAAACAAAAAGGAGCAAAAAGTTTCTACATCTTGCTGTTTCACAAATACTTTTGATTATGTTAATAAATGATGAGGCCATCCCTGATATATAATAGAAATAATGAACCTTCACAACTTAAAATGACTGTGTTTCTATGGCATTGAGTCAGTTATTGGTCCATATTGGCATATTGTCTGCATCAAATCAATCCTTCTTTGTACAAAGGCAGAATGAATTTTGTTAAATTCCATTTATAAGTTTACTATTGTGGGATAAGGTGATTCTGACAAGCCAAATCTGTCAGAAATCTGAGAATCTGTAACCTTAGCAGTGCCCTCTCTTCTGGCACCTCTTCAAAGCATCTTTGATTTCCTTGTTCCTCAGACTGTAAATCAAGGGATTCAACATGGGAATCATCACTGTGTAGAAGACGGATGCAAATCTGTCAAAGCTGGAGGAAGCACCAGAGCTGGAACTCAAATAGACAAACATACCTGACGTATAGAAGAGGGACACAGCTGTCAGATGAGAAGCACAGGTGTTGAATGTCTTGGACCTGCCTTTAGCTGAAGTGATCTTCATGATGGAGATGGCAATATAGGCATAGGATATCAGGATAACTAGTGCATTTACTATCCCAAAGAAAATTGTTAATACAGCAGTCATGGCCTGTACAAAGAAGGTGTCAGTGCAGGACAGGATTAACAGCTGGGGCATGTCACAGAAGAAGTGGATGATGACATTAGGCCCACAGAAGTGGAGCTGAAACAAAGTACCAATTTGGGCTGAAGAAGCAGTGAGTCCGGCCATGTAGGATCTCAGCACCATCCGAACACAGAGGCTGGGTGACATGATTGATGAATAGAGGAGGGGGTTACAGATGGCAGCATAGCGGTCATAAGCCATGGCCGTCATGAGACAAGACTCACTCAGTCCCATCGTCGAAAAGACAAAGTTTTGCACAATGCAACCTGCAAAGGTGATAGTTTTCTGCTCCTGGAAGAAGTTGGAGAGCATCTTGGGGACTGTGGAGCTGACATAGCAGACATCTATGAAGGACAGGCTGCTGAGGAAGAAATACATGGGTGTATGGAGGTGGGAATCCATCCTTATTAAAACAATGAGGCACAGGTTCCAAGTCAGAGTCATAATGTAGATCACCAGGAATATGACAAAGAGCACTGCTATGATTCTGGGAAAATCTGAGAATCCCAGCAGGACGAAGTGGGTGACCTCTGTAATATTTCTTGCCTCAATCATTGGTTCAGTGCTCCTAATATCAGAAAGGAGACAAGATAATGCATTGCTGACTCAGGACAAATAATAGCATTACCATTTTCATATATGTCTATCTTTCCTCCAATGAGCACTGGAAAAGGAGAAATGCTTCACTATCCTTCTAGTGGAAAGACCTCAGCTTTTCATTTTGACTTGTCAACACATACATGCACAGTGCTTTAGGTTCTCAATTAATTCATGGAGTCTCATGAGAATTAAAAAAAGATAATTAAAAAGGTGACTTGCAAGTTTTATAAAATCGTCAGAGAAATTCTCAGATTATGATATATAAGGTAGATTCATTAATTAAATTTAGTTTGCTTGACTTTGGGTACACTGGACCAATGGAAAACCAACATCAAACTATGCGGGGTCTTCATCTGCAGTAAATGTCAAAGTAACTATTGTAATTCTCCAATACTACAAAGGTATAATTTTTCTTTTTGCAGATACAATCAGCAAGTTAAAGCTCACTAACAGATTCATAGTAGAGAACACCTATCAGCTCTGCTCCATACCCAAACTGTCCTTGTTTTGGATGAAAGTGTAGACAAATGATAACAGTCGAGAAAGTTTGAAACAGATGAATAATTAGAAAGGACTTGAGGCATCACATTACCTGATTTCAAATTATACAAGGCTATCATAAGCAAAACAGCATGGTACTGGTATAGGACTAAAGACACACACCAACAGAACAGAATAGAGAACCCAGAAATAAAATCAGATAGCTATGACCAACTGATCTTTGACAAAGCAGACAATAACGGGGAAAGGAAACACTATTCAATAAATGGTGCTGGAAAATTGGATACCGACATGCAGAAGAATGAAACAGGATCCCCTACCTCTCA